TGTTACATAGACAAAATCCGATTACGTCAAGAAGTAATGTTAACATTTGTTTAAATAGATTTCATATATAGTTGTAATATTGGATATTAGTTTCGATTGCAACGTAAAACTCATCCATTCCGCAAATTACTACCTATATAACTTGATAATGAATCGTTAAGGTGTTTTAAACCAGTGATTTTAGAATTTTACGATGGTATATCTGAGAATGGCTGTACATCGGCTGAAGAAAGATGAACAACTGAAAGTGTTACCGTCATTGTTGAACGCGTTGAAAGCGAATCTCGCAGACAAGAACGTTGTCGATCAGTCAGTTGCATACAGTCTATCCCATTTCCTTATTTTTTCAGTAACTTTTTTCATGAGCATTTCTACCAGTTCTTCTCGAAGTATATGCATCAAAACTGTGTGTTTTATCTTATATTATTAAAATGGAAAACCGAGATGAAAATCTTTTTATTTTGAAATAAATTATCAAGGAGGTCAGTTGAAAATGACGCCAGGAAATTGCGTTATCATGAAGGCACTGCCAAAGCGAACAGTTTGGAAAGCGCATATCTATTTTACTGGGAACATTATCTGTTCGAAACAAGTTTTAGAATGTATTAGATTACTTTACTGTACACTACTCTAAGAGAATGTTCCCGGTGCGGCGTTGCTGAATCTTTTTGATGTGTTGTCACTTTCAGAATAATTCTGTTGACTGCCGGTGGTTGGTTGCGATTAGCAGAAATGAATGCCGAGAAATGGCCTGATCTCAATGAACTGAATGACCCTTCGATACGTTCTGCAGTCCTCAAATTCTTCTCGGATATTCTCGCATTCCCATATCCAGTGTGAGTTTTCAGTGAAATAATTTGGACGTGATACTTTTTGCGTTTGAGTGAAAAGAGATTTTCGAGCGGTTGTCAGACATTAATATTCATGCTTTGCAGTGGTGATTTAGCGACATTCGTAACGAGAGTGGAAGCAACTCGTATGGTCAATTTGAGTTGTATATCAATCAGCACTTACTTAAAGATCGCTAAGGACCTTTTCGTGGCAGCATCATTGTCCATCACTGATGTAAGTTCTCCGGTTTTGTATCGAGTAATAAAAAATATTGTGTAAGTTCTCAGCTTTGAAATGGGAAAATTTTTAGTCAAAAAGGAAAACTCAGTTTGTTCAGAATGACAGAGAGCAGTGGTAATTTCAGGTGAAAGTGGCCGTTTTGAAAGTGTTATCGTCGAAGTATTTCACCGATAAGGATTGTTTGCCGTTGCTGCCGTTGGGTCTGGCGAACGGCTGCAATGAAGTGGAATTCGCGGCGGATTCTTGCATGAAAAGAATTGATCAGCCGGAAACTCTGAAAGATAGAGGAGTCATCAATAAATTGTTCACACTGTATTTGGGCAATCCGTCGAAGGTTAGTTTAAAAATGCAACGAGGTGACCGTATGGAATAGTAGTGGAAATGAATTTTCCCACTGAATCATTTGAG